ATGTATAGCAACTTGAAATGCTCCCAAAAATGGCTCCACAACATGTAAAAGTATAATATAAGCTCTGGCGGACTTGGTTCTATGGTAGGTCTTAAAGGGTTAAAAACAAGGCTATCACAATAGTTAATAGTTTTTGGTAGAATAAGTAATTTAGGTGTTAGTGTGATATCATAACTAATGCCCCTCTGGTGTTAATGTGACAGGTTCAAATGTGAGTTTTGTGACTACACTTGTGACAACAAGAAGCTGCTGCTCAACCATCAGCTGTCCCACACCAACGACAGGCCTTTTAAATGCGACTACTGTAAATACTCTACTTCCAAAGAGGAGTTTCTCGTCTCCCATCTGGCCATCAAACACACAGGTCAGTGCAGCAGAAAGACAATAACGCTATATTTAAACAGCTTGAGTTTAAATTCACCTATTGAATTCACTTATTGATGTCGTGTGTGTTTTAAATTTCTCCAGGCGAGAAGCCTTTCTCCTGTGATATGTGTCACTTCATGACTAAGCACAGGAAGAACCTGCGCCTTCATGTGCAGTGTCGCCACGCTGAGGCATTTGAAGAGTGGTCTTTGGCTCACCCTGAAGAGCCTGTAAAGACACGGCGCAGACCTTTCTTCACCCTGCAGCAAATAGAAGAGCTGAAACAGCAACATGAAGACACACAGAGCTTGCAGAACACTATTGTAAGTTTGATTTGTTGTTATCTTGTGTTACTTTTATGCCAATGGGGGGTGAGAAGGGAAAAAAATCATGAAAATAACAAAATAATGAGATTGTTTTGTTTTTTTTTTAAATTTGTAAATGTCCATATTCATGAAAATTCAGCAATTTGCAAAATTTAGAAATATTATTTACTCTTAAAGAATAACCATAGTTTTTGTTTTATTTTTTCTTTCTGTCTTTTTTTTAACATGATCTTATTAGGTCACTGTGGATTCTGCAACACTGCAAGCCATGCAGGGCATGGAGAACGCCTCAGTGTCCCAGGACGCTTTGGGAAACACCACGATCATCTATGAACAAGGTCAGTAAGGATTTCTCTGAAAACATATTAAATATTTATGGTGTTATATATAACCTGAATGACAAGCTCTGAACTTTTCTCCATGTGCTTCTCCTCAGCTGAATCCAGCGACCTATCTGCTCAGAATGCCCTGGACCTACTGCTGAATATGAGCAATGCACGGGAGCTGGTTGGGAACTCCTTACAGGTCAGCTCATCAAAATTTCAGAACGGTTACATGAAAGATAGCATTGTATTCTATAAAATAAACGAACAAAAAAAGTAATAACGGTAAAATATATCTTGATTGTTTTTCTCAGGTAGCAGTGCTGAAGTCAGATGGAAAAGCTTTGGAGAAGGGAACATGGAGCACGGTGACAGCAGCGTCCGGTCAGGCCCAAAAGATCTTGACCTTCCATGTTTCTGAGAATGGCGAGACAGTGCTACAAGAGGCCTACGAGGCTGCCACCTCTGAAACAGGAGAGCTTACCCACATCGCCATTGAAGGCTATGAGGGGGGAGGGGACTTCAGTGTGGTGGAGCAGGCAGCTGAAGAAATCCGTAGTCCTGGATATAGGTAACATAGCACACACAGTCCGATTTGTAGCTTCTGTTCAAATATTTCATAAGCAAGAGATTACTTTCATATTAAGGACATTTTGGTGTCTCAGCAGTTTCTAATCTTATTAAACTGCTTTCTTTTCAGTAATGTGGAGTCTAGCCCTTCTCAAGCTTTAGAGGTTTCTGGGTCAGAGAGCTTGAAAAGTGACAAGTATTATCTTACATCAGCACTGGCTGATGGTGTATTGCAACAAGTGGAGGTAACTAGCAACTGTAGTTTATACCATAAACAGATTTACTATCTCTGTCTTCCACTCCTTGACTGTGTTGTCTGTTCTCCGTTAGCTGAGCAGCGAAGCTCCAGCTTCTCCCTCTGCAGTGGGCTCTCCCAGTCTCACTACGAAGAGGTTTTCCTGTCGAATCTGCATGGAGTCTTTCCATGGACGCTCGGACATGGAGAACCACAAGAGGGCGCACGTGGATGCCAATACTTTTAAGTGTCCTGACTGTGACTTCACCTCCACCTCCTGGCCTGAGGTCAAGGTGAGTCCTTCCAAACCCCAGATTTATCAGTGGAAAGTTGGCAAACGTTAGCTAGATTTTTCCACTGGAGTCAGTGATGACGATTAAAATTGATGAACAGCTTCATATTAATATAAATGGGGGAAAAAAAACGACAATTGAGAGGTGTACACCCCCATATTCATTTAGTTTGACATTTATACTCTAAGCCATTTTAATGCCATTTGAAAAACATCTCTCTCCCTCTAACTTTTGCTCCTTTAAATTGTGATTAATGTTCTGTTTTGTTTTAGACCCACATGGGACAGCACTCCTACCTGCGTCCTCACAAGTGTCCAAACTGCAGCTTTGCCTCCAAGAACAAGAAAGACCTACGCAGACACATGATGACGCACACCAATGAGAAACCATTTTCTTGCAAACTTTGTGGACAAAGGTGGGAGCATCTAACACATCTGTATTCATTAGGCATTAGAGGTACAGAACAGCTATTAATGTGAGTGTTTTTTTAACTCAGGTTTAACCGCAATGGCCATCTGAAGTTTCACATGGAGCGTCTTCACAATCAGGATAATCCTGCTCGCAAAAGTCGAACTACTGCGTCTCAGCAAACTATAATAGTTAACAGCGATGAGGAGGCATTAGCCACACTACAGTGTAAGAAACACAGGATCATACAAGCCAAGACTTACAGTTTGTGCTTAAAAGTAATAATAAGAGTAAATGTAAAGGTGTCAGTGGTCAAAAGTCCATAAACAGAGGCCTCAGTGTAAAACAGATAAAAAAATGAACACAAAGTTAATATATTTTGATGTGTGTATGTGTGTGTACATCAGCCCTGCAGGGACATCAGGCAGTGATCACTCCAGAGCGGCTGCAGGCTCTAGGACAGGAGCACATCATTGTAGCTCAGGAACAAGCACTGTCAGACCAGGTAACAGCTCTCACACAGTACAGCCTATATGTATGTAATGTACTCTCCAAAATGGATTGATTTTTCACGTGTAACTGCTAAACATTTTATAAATAAGAACCCTTAAATGTGCATTAATCAGGAGGAAGGTGCATACATCCAGCAGATAACCACCATAGACGGGCAGACGGTCCAGCATCTGATGACGGGAGACAACCAGGTGACTGAGGTGAGTTCCATTTGAATCATTCTACCGCTGTGCATGTAAAATGCGTATGCAGAAACGTGATTTTAATGTATATTTTTTGCTTAAACTTATTAAAATAAAAAGGCAATAACTAGAAAAAACGTGTTTGTATGGCCACCCTTGCTTTTGACTCATGGGTGTCAGTTTATCTCACTTGGTTGAGGTTCAGGGTTTAATTTTGACCCAGTTCCTTTGCCTTGTGTCTCCATTATCTCTCCTTGCTTACCTGTTGGAGAAGCTTTGTTGTCCTATAAAATAAAGGCAAAAGAAATAATGTTTGTAAAAAAAAAAAGGTCTGATTCTGGCTCCATGCATCAAGATAAATTTGGGGCCTCAGATGTGGTTTATAGTCTTGTGTGTGATAGAACACAATAATCATGACAGTGCCTAAGGCTTCTTTGTGGTATTGTATAATCAGTATCAATGTTAGATTTAATCTCACCTTATTTGTCCCATGTCCACTTTCAGGTCCAGTATATCATCTCACAGGATGGAGTTCAACACTTACTTCCTCAAGAGTATGTAGTAGTAGCTGATGGCAACCACATACAGGTAAGTGTTTAACTGCCTAAACGGTGCATATATATGCAGTATTTAATAGTGAGAATATCTGTCTCATTTGTAACTGGCTCTGTGACTGGCCCTCAGATGCCAGACGGACAGATAATCCAGTACGAACATGACAGAACCATTGTTCAGGAGCAACAGGTGAGACAGGTTTAAGATCTAAAACATGCTGAAAGGACCTCTGTGTAGGATGCACGATCTGATATCCTCGTGTTGGTGTTGTTCCCAGATCATCATACTAAAGGTTGTTCCAGGATCAACATTGCAAGTGACCAATCAGAATGTTGTGATGTCATACTTTTGCGACTTCGGGAAAAACCGGCGTAAAACAAAAAACTGTACTTAAGCTGCGAGAAACCGCCTTTGTCCGCCGATCAACGGACCCTGACCCTGACCCTTTAATAAACGCTAAGCAGAATTGATATTGTCCTTGCAACATTGGAATTTCATAAATGCACGAATGGGTTGGTGCGCAAAAGAATAACGTCACAATAATGTGATTGGTCACTTCCAATGTTGAACCTGGAACAACATTTTCATGATGATCTGGGAACAACACCAACACGACGATATCAGATCATCCGTGTAGGATGGAGCGGGAGCTGTTTGGAGAAGTCCAATAAAGTATTCACAATCTTGTTCTCAGTGTGTACTCATCTGTACATCCAAATTTAGAAGCTTTTGTATTTTTAAATTGAAGTGATGGGAACCAGTATCTAACTGGTTACATTGAGCAACTTCACAACTAGTGCAACTGAATCATACACAATCATATACATGGAATTCTCTATAAAGTTAAGTCAAACTTTATAGACAAATGAAATATCATTATGTCCAAACATAACTCAAATTTAAAAACAAATATAAAAGAGATTATTTAGTCATTTTGGTTTGTGAGCTTAAACTGTTTTGTGTGTATTGTATATGAGTGTAAACTTGTATATAGTTAAACATGTATATTATCTGATTACATGCCAAACTCTGAACATTGATTTGCAAATTGGGCGGGAACAAATAAGTGTAAACTTCATCCTACTCCTTTTCAAGCATAATAATTGTGTGGGATGCAGAGATATTCATGACAACTTGATGTCTTTATCTTGTTTTTTTTGTGTGTGTTTACAAAGTTTTTGTTCTTGTAACTCAGTTATTTTCACGTTTGAAATAAACTCTATTCTCTTCTATTTGTAGATTGCTGTAAGTCACGACGGTCAGATCCAGTACCTACCTGTCAGCTCTGATCAACAAATCGTGAATGCTGAAGATCTGGAGGCTGCTGCCCACTCTGCTGTCACAGGTTGGCTCTTATGAGAGTGCTCAGTTGATGTTCAGTTCCAAGTTTTTGGATTTTATGAATTTCTTATAATTTTGTCCCAAATATATGATAAGGTTTCTTCAGGAAAGCCACTAAGTAATTCCTTAAATGCAGACATTTTTGAAAGTGATAAACAAACATCATCAGTAGGTTTAAAACTTGCCAAAATATAATTTATTTCTAATATTAGCTTCAGTATAAATAAAGCTGAAAAGTATGAACTCTGATCTTTGTTCCTGCAGCTGTAGCAGACGCAGCCATGACACAGACCCAGACAGTCTACACTGAGGCTACACCTGAGCAACTGGAAGAGCTGCAGCAACAGGGCATCCACTATGATGTCATTACTTTCTCCAATGAATAGAGATACAAGTGCGCCAAGAGGAGGACCAATACAAACCACTATGAGCTAACAGAACAGTGACCTCAACTTATTTATGCATCTAGCTGGTGAAGTGAAAATAGGCCTTATCTCCTGCCCAGCATCACCTGCTCGGGGCGGCTGCATCAGTCAAGATCAACAGCTTCTTGTAAATTTCAATTACTGTACGCAGTGCTTCTAATTTATTCATCGGTACTGGAACGTTGGGCTCTTCTCTAATTATTTAAACCGAATTGTGTACATGTGCCCCAACAGCTCCCATGTGCAAGACAATGTTATTAAAAATTATAAAATAGCTTATTTCATGTTATTGAAAGTGTCCTAATGAACATTTTAGTTTTTGAATGGAATGAAATGAAAAGGCACGCTTTATTTTTGATGTGTAATCAGATAAGTTCATTAATAAAATGCCACAATATTGTTTTTACATAATATTATGTACATACATTTCGCATGTGTCTTCTGTTGTGCAATGGAAGACATGTTTTGATTTGATGAGTATAAAGTGTTTAATATGTTCAAAGCTGACACCAAATAAATCACTTTATACATGTATGTAATCCTTAATGTGTCTGCTCGGAATTATTTCATCTTGTCCGTATCTACTTTAACATATCCTATCTATATAATATCTATATAGAAAAAGGATGAGTTTTCTGTTGTCACTGAGTGGTGCTGAGGTCTGAATCTGAGGGCAGCTCCTGAGTATTGGACAACAAATATTAATACTTGAAATTATTTCTCTCAAAGGATGTAAGCTGTATAGAGCACTGCACGGGTAACTTTGTGAACAATACCTCATTAAGAAATATTCAGACGATATCAGACATTTGTTCAACTTTGGCATAGCACAGTGACTGGACAGCCTTCATTTTATTCAGCCTTACTCAGTGTTTGTAAGTACAAGCAGGTAACTGCGCTCAGTGCTGGTTCAGTATGAGCTTCTGCAGGGTTTATTTGTCAAGAGCACGTTAACTTGTTAAAAACGGCTGCTAGCTAGTACTGCTGGAACGTATTTAGGCTAACACGAGC